GTGTGCTCTTCCGATCTATGATCATAAGCGCTTCAGGATCACCTGAAGCGGAAGCAAACGCCTTCTCCGATGCTGATGCAATCGGTGAAGTCGATCCAAAAAATTGAGATTCTGCCGTAAGTCATTTTTGTAATTTTTTAAACAATAAAAAATATAATAATATCTTCTCACATTTGCGTTTGCAATTATAATTTTATGTGAAGAATTCTCGCTTTCTCTCTCTCCCTCTTTCTCTCTCTTTCTCTCTCTCTTTCTCTCTCGCATTTGTTATTTTATTATTGCAAATTTCTTTATGATTTAAAATAATTTTAATTAGACTTCCAAAATATATTTCTTTTTTATTATATCAACGGAATTAAATTTTTTTTAGTTGAAAGCACTAAAAAAACAAAATGGTCCCGAAAATGGTAAATATTCCAACAATATACTTATTAAATAATATACGTATCAAAAATTGTTCTATATCAATATTAATAAAAAAATGTTTTACAGATTAAGAAGCTTTTTCGAAAGATCGCAAGATATATTGCAAAGCTATTGACACAATAATCTCAAGAAGAATAGGAAAATATAGGATTCTTTAAAATATGAATACAACAAAAATATATGTAAATTATAAATACAATCATTTTATATTTTTAAGAATCTATATATATAATAAAAAAAAGTGCATGTAAAGTCAATAACTCGCATTTTTCGAAATTATTTGTTGTCGCTTTTCCGCGATGCTGATTGGTTGTCTCGATGCGCTTACTTCGTGTAAGCGGCTGTGTCAGTGCTTGCATTTTGACAGTTGTGTGTATTGAAGTTGATGTTATTGTAAATTATAGTAAGAAGTGTTAAATAGCGCGCGTCTGTAGTGCTAGTAATACAAATTGTAATTATATGTCTCTATTATATTATATTTGGTTTTTGTTTCTAAAGTGAAGAAAGATACGAAAAAAAATAAAAACAATTAATATGGTTGCAGCATAATCATTGTATTTTATTTACATAAATTTCATAACATTATGTCTGTCTCTTATACACATCTCTGAGCGGGCTGGC